CTGACCAACCTAACCCGCCGAGACGGCAAGCTGTTTATTCGAAATAGGTCAATGATCAAGGTTCCTGGCTCAAACACAACTCACCGTCTCTGCTGTTCTTTCTAGACCCGTAAAACCTCGCACTAGCTCAGCCCTCGTGTTTCCTTCGGTTGGCATCGTGTGTTGGCACCGAAGAATGTTACAGCACCACTCTTTCAATCATTCAATCATTTTGCCTTACGGTTTGCTGTGCGCTTCATGCCAGCGAAGTGTTAAGTAGCAACTCGGTTTTCACGTTATTTTCGGTTGCTATCACACAGATAGTAGGCTGCTAATCGGTTGTTGTTCGTTTTGTTTCTTCGTTCCTGATTAAGCTTTTGCTAGCACGCTCATTGCTGAGCTTCACGCTCATTTGGGAATAAGACAGCTCATTAGGAACTATTTATCGCCTTCTCATCCGTTGCTCCCCCCCCAACAGGTTAGGACACTGGTGAATGTTTTGGACGATAATGGTCTAAGCCCACTGTATTTGTCTTTGAAGTTCAAGCAGTTTGATCTGGCCGAGTACCTGTTACAGAACGGTGCACTGCTGGATCTGATAATCGGGGAAAATGAACGGATGCCAACTGCGCATTACGCTCTGATGCACAATGAACTCGAAGCAGTCCAGTTCCTGATCGGTCATGGGTTTCAAGTAAGTAGCCACTACCCTCATATGATGACTCTGTCTTGAAATGCCTGGTTTTTCAGGAAACTTAGAGACTACTGGGTTACGGGCAACCTCTGCGCCTCCATCTTCAGCACCAGCTGCTGCCTCAGACATCTTGATTCAATTTCAGAGCACCGGAAGCCTGTCTAAGCTACCTTTAACGTTCGAATAACGAAAACAAGCAGGATGACAAGTTTGTCTTGTTGTTGTGGGTTCCATTCGCATTTTTGTATGCTGTCTGTCAGGAACGAGTATTCAGGACATATGCGTTGTAATTAAAGTGACTACACTGTCAATTTCTACCTGCCTGTGTCTGTAAATACGCGATGGCGCGGAGGCCTCTGCATGTGGCGGGGTGGCCATTGTGTTGGTGGTGGCGATATAGATCAGTGCTTCCTTCGGGTG